TGGGGGAGCCGCCCGTACTCAAAATTCCCGAGACACCTCGTGAAAAACTATATCCGATAACTACGCAACGATTCACCTCCTATGCATAATGGGCATATCCAGACGCCATTTAGGGAAAAATAATGAAATCAGTCAACACCGATTTGAAGCGCACCAACAGATGTATAGAAAGAACAATCCTTCAGCAATAGGTTGATTGACATCGGCTTGGTAACTTCTAATAGGTGAAGTCTCTAGTTGTGGTAAGCACGTGGAAGATTACTCGGGCAGGCAGAAGACGGTCGAACGCAAGCCCTGGGGAATCGGTGAAACAGTAACGGCGATAAGTGGAAATACGGTGAAATGCTTAATTGAGACAAGTAGAAGCGTACAGTCAGAAAACATTCCCGTTTAGCCCTTTAACCTCTCGAATTCAAAGTCTCACACAGTCTGCAGTCAAAAATGGTCCTTGCTTCCGCGTGAATATTGTTGAAAACACACTAGAAGCGAGGACCGAAAGAGGCAAAAGTCGTCAGCATGATAATCGCCGGCTGAAAAGCAATTCAGAGGATTTTTTTAAGATAATCAGAGCTGGCACATGGGCTGGAGGAAAAAGGACGAAAGCTAAACACAGACAGGCGAAGAAGACTTACGATAAGAACCCAGGGCCCGGGCAGACGGTGAATGAAGTTAAACAAAAAGATGATGAGAAAGAAGACAGAGATGATGAGGGAGATGGCAGCGGTGAAGTTGATCCATCCGCCTGCAGCGCTCGCACCAAAAGAAAAACTGGAACCCACACAGATGAATATGATTATGGTGAGCACAATCTATAGGAAAGGGAAAAGCGGATGCCGATTAGGGGGAGGGGGAAGGCGAGGGCTTCACACATATTTGAAATTAGATCGGCAATTTGGCTTCCGTGCGTACTGTTTTGCGCTGAAGAAGCAGGAAACAGATGACTGCTATTTAGAGAACTTGTTTCTGCCTGTTTTCCTGCACAAATAGTGAAGAACTCAGTATAGTAATAGCAAACTTCTGGAGAAAATGAATCTGGTCGTGACAACTTGCATCTGAGGCAAATAAATGTGCATTTTTAGTTTTTGTGAGGTCGCGGTGGTTGGTTCTTTGGACTGAAAAAGTTGCGTTCATTAAAAAAACTAATTCACGGGAAAATCGGGCTGTCATAAAATGGCCTGAATTATGGCGTGCGACTCTCAGGTCCGTAAATTATTCAAAGACATGATAGGGACTGTATTGGCATTGATTATAGATTAACAAGGCGTCCTAAATCTCCTACAGAGGATATTGGCGACAACCACGATTGGCGCGTGAGAAAGGAGCTAGCATAGACTCGCCATTGTCTTAGAATGCATAGTCGAATTCGTTACTCAACACGTCATAACAACAAAAGACCCTTCAAGTTAGGTTAAAGGACAGGTCCAATGTGGTCACTGACGATTCCGCGTCGGACGCACCATGTCGCCTAACCCAGGCGCAAACGTTGCTGAGTTGAAAGTAGACGACTAGTATATAACAGCTATATCAGACCCTGGTCTAACTCCCACACATACAGAGCCAATAACAGTCAACAGACCTGCGGTTATATGTGAATTGGTCACGAAAGCCTGCGGGGGCGAATTTGATCATTTAACGAGCCTGCATGAAGTCCCTATTATTACTGAGCAGGAACCACGGATGTAAAGGAAGTAATCTGATGGTATGTTATTGATGTAATTGGTAGCTGGTGCGACGTAAGCCGAGAATATACATGTACAGCTCTTCATAGGGTTCGCTGCACGATACATTGCCATAAATAGGCACAATTTGTACAAAAGTCTCGGAGAAGTAAACACTGTCGCTTCGTTTAACGAGAACTTTATCCTGAGAAAGTTACACTTCCACAGTGTGTGTGTTACGCAACGCCCATAGACAACTACATTTCGCAGAACAAAAAATATCCTGATATTAACTGACATTTTCTCTTGGCAATAAGACTCAAGTATACAAAGAGGACTGAGGAGAAGGTATGCTAAATCATGTGAAAAACGTTTGTGGACATCTGTATTAAACCACCATTAGCTCGTAAAATCAAAACAAACGAGCTTGAGATAGGAAGAGTCCGCAAAATCCCGCAATACAAACGATGGGACAACAGTAAATTCGTCCTGAAAACATTAACTTCACAATATTTAAGGAATCAGTTGCCTTGGTAGTCTATGGTTTTCCTACAAACCTTCAATGAAAAGCTTAATTGTAAATATTAACCGATTACAATCATTTGTAAGACAAAATCCAGCTGACTACGGGCGGAGGTAAATGTAAGGCTTGAACTTACACAGTATACGACAGAAAAAAGTAACTCGGATGGGCAAATTGTGACATTTACTAAGGAGGCGCAAGAAAGTTGCGTTCCAGAAACTACGGCACACTGAGTTAACTCTTCCACCCTGAAATATGCTTCTACGCCGAATTCGGGTCGCAAAGTCTTATATTCGGTTAAACAAACTAACTACGTGCCACGCGGAAAGTTGTGTGGGCAAACAGACCTAAAAGTCTTCAATTAGCTTAAACAATATTTCACAGCAAACTTTGCCACAGAAAAATTGCAATATAAGAAAAAAGAAGACCGCCCGGTGCTGAAACTTGACCTCGGACAGAAGGTACCGGTGCATCGGGCTTTATTGCTCAGGAAATGTACTTGAACAAAATGCACCAGCGCTTAATAGATGCTGCTGTAACACTAAAAAAAGCTTACGCGGAATAATAAAAAGCGGCATAAGCTCGTTTGAGTTCTTAAGCAGGGTTGCTCACCAAACGTGGGCGGTCGTCAAATAGAGAATTTTGGGGAGCGAAGGCAAGGTGGACTGAGGAAAGCTGACCACCTTTGTCTAGTCAAGCCACTTATAAATAATAAAGCTCGAGACTAGCATGAAGGTAATCCAGTGCAAACGTCGGTTCGTTTAATTGGGTTTTCCGGCTTTCTACTATTTGAAAGAATAGATGGCGATTGAATCCTCATGGCAAAATGCATGCGCCCCGTACGTATCTGCGGCGGAAACCTGCTGCCAGTGGGGAGGAGGCATTCTGAGGTCCGCTCTAGTCCAACAAGACAGCCATACAAGCACTTCCAATCCCTTAGATGACTCAGGTCGTTTGTAAAATCAGACACGTACTACCAACTTCTGCACCTTTATCTTTCCTTCTAATCGTAAGACAGCTGTTCCGCGCAGCAAACTTCGGCAACAAAAAATAAATAATCCTAAGGCTTTTAGATCGCGGCTTTTGTTGCGAAGGTGTGATGTCAGCTAATCGATATGCCTGCTCGGTGGTAAGACGCACACCAAGGCAAATCGGCTAAAAGAGACTATCGGTACCTCCACTTTTTGCCGATGCAATTTTTGTGCGAACTATGTCCATGATTTTGCAGCGAACTTTGCTATTATGGCACTCCACAGACTGTGTGAAATAAGCACCATAAGGTCTCCAAAAGTATTCCGAAAAAAAAACTTTGCGCAGTATTTATCGAAAATTTAAAACATAGTTACGTAAGCACTGAAAATGACTCGTCTGCTTATCAAATTGCGAGAAAGTATAGAAAGTCATCAATACCTCGACTATTTTTAAAATGCCATGTTTATCTCGAAGAAATGCGCCGTTGAATGCGATAGGCACGGCCACCTCCTGCCGAGTTTCGTATGTGGTCTCGTATGCTGAAGCCGTAGGTTGCATCCTAATAACCCAAACCGGTCACGACAGACAAAGGACGCTTGTGGGGTGTGTGCAGATACCTGATGACTTGTTTTAATTATCAAATCACAGATCGGTCTTACCTGCTTGAGGGAGGGAAGGCTAATGCACTTAAATCCCAATCTGTCAGATGCTATTCCCGAATACTGTAAACTATGCAAAACAAAAACAGTGTCAGTATGTAGAGCGCAGTTTTTCATAAGTACTCATGGTTTCTGGTGGTTCACTTTTTATAATTGTTGATAAGTGTAACCTTCGTTTTCCTAATAAGCTCCTCTGCCAGCACAATCCCTGGATTCTCCCGTTCAACTCCGGGTTGAAGGCCTTTATTGAAGAACTAGATTTACTGCACACATTTCTCGCAATTTACCTTCTTTATCAATAAATTATCAGTAACCATTATTTTGCTCCCTGACCTTTGACAA